ATATATAAAAGTGGTCAATAATTTTTAGTGCCCTAAATTAAAATTAACCCAAACATTATTTTTCTAAATTCTTATTGAAAACGTTACCTTAATAAACAATTTGTTTAAATAGAATAAGTATCCTTACAGGTATGTAAGTATCACTTACAAATGTATTTTCTTAACCTATACATATTTACTTATAGCTGTGACGTGTATGGTAATTAAGGTGAAGCGAAAGTTCGATCCCCTATCTGAATCAAAACTTTTTATTAAAAGTGAAAATCTTTTATATCTTGTTTAGGTGAAATATTGTTCGACTATCCGAGATTTCTTATTATATAAATTATAGTATACAGTATATGATAAACAAAAGTATTTTGCATTTTTAACGCTATCTGGTAACGAATAAATGAACTTTTGTATCGATCTATACCAAAACTTTCCATTCAAAAAGGTACTGCTATTTTTCTTTGAATTACAGGCTATGAAAGTGTTAATATTAGCAATTATTAGCATAAACTTTCTAAAAATAGTTAAACTGATTTATTTCGTACATAATTATGTGCAGTTTTATTAACAAGTTATTTAAAAATTTGTTATGTATGTAAGTTTATTGTTTTTGTTAAATTAATTCAGGAATTTTATTACAGCGTTGCAAAAATTGTCTATATGCATTTATTAAACAATTTTATTCACCAAATTTGCAATTTGCTTAGAAATAAAATAAAAAAAATTCTTTACACGCGTACGAGATTTTTATTTTTTAATATTTTGAGACCTTGACGTAAAATGTTTAATTTTTACATTTTAATATTGATACGAAAATTAGTTATAAAATTGAAAAAATATTATTTCATATGGTAATTTTTAATTTTATTTGTGAGTTTGATATTGTGATTATATTGTCTCTGTAAATATTTTGAAATAAGATGTTTGGAGATGATAAATGGAGTAGTTATATAGAGCAGCCTTCTAAATGAAACTGTATACAAGAACATCAAGGTGTATTTGTAATATACTAATAGTAAATAATATTTAAAAATGTCTTCCGTTTATTTGCTTCACATGTTTTGAGGCATTTATTATAAAAAATACAATGAAATTTACTTATTTTCAAAATAACATTCTATTTGTTACTTAATGAGTAGATAACTTCGATAATTATGATATTATAATCATTTTAAAATTAAAAATTAGAAATTTATTCATCAATTATTTAGTAATTTATTCTTTCAATATTGAATTAATTAGGTAACTACAAACTAGATATTTTTGCAGGAATTCGAATAAATTAAAAAAATTATATTCTTTGAAGCATAATAATATCAGTGATAAATATCATTATTTATTACTATAATACTAATCATATATAGCATAAAATTTCTGGTTTTCTAATTGTATTTTTATACAAATAAGTTATTTGTATTATTTGATTTAGTATTAATAAAATATATTTATATTTAATTTATAACAAATATTTTTCTTATTTGAATTCTGAAATATTACACAATCCTTGATAGCAATTCTTATTATAAAAATATGAATTATTTGTATTGAAAGTATGATACTAATTTAGTTTTTTTTAATAATTTGCATACAATCAAAACAGAAACAACTTTGCACATATTAAAACGAAACATAATATAATATCGTAAGTTTTTCTAATATTTTATGTCAGTTCATATAATTATGATAGCATCTTGTTAATTAAACAAAATTTAATTTTATTTATTTTATGAAATCTTTGTAATTTGTTATGTTGTTCGTATTATTGTAAACACATAATTTTTATGTAAAATAATGCTTGTTTGAAATACGTATGCATAATTTCAAAATTTTATTCTGTATTATTATATTATAAAGATTTTGTTTTAAAATTTTAATTTACATTCAACAATGTTTAACATTTTTAAAATACTAAATATTTTCCAATAAAAATCTCTTACGCTCCTTCACAAAAACTTTTTAAGATTTATATATATTATAAAAAATTACTAATTAAGAATTTTAATAGCTTATCAAATTCTTTTATTGAAATACATTTTAGTATAACTTTTATGCAACAAATCGGGAAATAACCTATTAGTTTCAGTTTTGCTCTACTGACAATTAGGTTATAAATATTTCTAACTTCTTTATACATTATTTTATTATTTTATGTTTTGTTACGTTGTTGCAACAGTATGTTAAGTGTAAATGAATTATACAATATTTTATAGGTCCACTATCAAGCATCTTATCGACGAAGTACTCCTACAAAACAGTAACCATCATTGGTGGCGCTTTTGCAGCTTGCGGCATGATGCTGAGTTACTTTGCTAACTCGGTTTCCTATCTATACGTTAGGTATGATAAAATTAATGGATTTTTACTTTTATTCGTGTATATACAAGGTGTTTGCAAAATATAGGTCAGTCAATTAATGAATGATGAAACAAATAAATATTTTTAGTTTAATAAATGTATATTCATCCTTACCTTATCTTTTAGTAACCTTTGAAAAAAATGTTTAAATTTATAAACGTCTATTGATGAGCAAATCATCAAATTCAGTAAAAAACTTCAAAAAATTGATTAATTAAAAAAAGGTAAATGAAACTGTATACAAAGGTGATGCCATTTTTTCATATTTTAACTTGTACAGTGAGTTTAATAACAACAATGATATTCTTATAAATGTGGCAGAGAATTGCGCCATATTATTCTTAATATTTTGGAAATACTTCGCTGAGAATTTTTATTTTACGGAAAATAGTATTATTTATTAAGTTTTACTATAATTCCATTTAATAATACATTTTATCTTGTATTATTGGATAGTTGTTATAGAAATTTTATGAATAATGCATCGTGACTTCTTACTATTGTTTATACTTACATTCCTTTCTTCTTATCAGTAGAAAAGTCCTATAACATTTTAGAAAAAGAAAATATTTGCAAAAGTAAAAATATTAACAAAATTATACAGATTTAAACAGAGTCGAATTTACCATACTTGAGGCCTCTGATGAGAAAATTGTATTCCACATTAAAGAGAATGTTCATGCATATGTAACACATGTATCAACATATATACACACTAGCATATTGATATTTTCGATGGATCCTTCTTTGAGGACGGGCCCCTGGCGGCCGCTCGGTCCAACACCCCTTTAATTCGCACCTGGATTCAAATGCGTTTTAATACAATTCCAACTTATATGAAAGGTTTATAAATCTTTTCTCGGTATCGTTATATTTCGTATTATTTATCAGACGATGGTCTTCGTGCTTAACGCTATTTAACTTCGCCAAGATACATAGGCCCTACTCAAAAAGATTACTGAAACTTATACGACCTAATTCTTCGAATTAATTTTTCCAAAAATACAAGTTTCAAATTTATTATATACACCTTAATTAAAACGTCATTATTTTTAACAAAAGAAAAAATAAAGAAATAAAAGCAGATTAGGCCGAAAGAAGTAAAAGCTGTTCACGAAACATCGAAATATGTAAAATAGTGACTTTCTTATTTTTATGACACATTCCTATGCTTTATAATATATTAAAATAAACAAGTGCCTTCGAAAATGTAATTTTTTTCAATTGACAGCTAATTATTTTTCTTTGACTTTTGATGAAAACTGTGTTGACAAATTAATGCAATTATACTGACCGCAATGGAATTTTTGAGAACTTACGTTTATTTTATAATGTAACAGCAAGAATATTACAGGATGTTACCAAACTAACAATTCAAGCTAAAGGGGTGCGAATCAGCGTAATAAAATAAATCAAAAATGTAGAATGATCTTTTTTTGTACAAAACTTCATTTTCGAATAAATCGATGTCAAAAATTGAAATAGATATATACTTGCATTATGTTTTCGCGTGATAAATATTATTGTACTATTGGTATCGCCATTCCAATTTCATTTATACACCAAAGAATAATCATTAAAATAAAATTACTTTTTAATCGAACATAAGCAATTATGCCATCTTATCTTCTTATATTCTATGCACGTTTATATCTTGCATATTATATCTTATGTACATACCTTGCGAATCTTTAACAGCGATTTATTCGAAAACGAAGCTTCGTATAAAAAATGCCACTCCACATTTTTTACTTATTTTTGCATGTAGATTCACCCCTATTCGGCTTGTACTGCCATATACAAAACAATAACTTTATAAATGTACCTTGGGAAAATAAATATGAAAAGCCAATTGTTAATTTTATATGCAATTTTTTTAGAATAACCTTTTTCAATGTAAAAAGGAATACTCTGATCTAATTTTCAAATAATATGCAATTTGTCATTCAAAACTTTATTGAAATAATACGGTATACAGGGTGTTTCATGTAATTCGAGCATTTAAAATATCTTGCTTTTTATGATAGAAAAATATGTCAAAGGAAAACATTGATCGATACAGAAAAGGAAATACTATGGTGGGTGAACAATTTTTTATTTACAATAATTTAAATATTTTTCGAGATTTTAACGTCATCAAATTTTTTTAAATAGAATGATATATTTTTATTGTTGTTCTATCACGCTATGAACTATGAAATTCAAGAAAAATCCAACAATTTATAATATATTCACTTTTACGTAATCTTAAATATGAAAAACTCATAAAAGTTGAACATTGATGTAAATAATGAAATAAAGGCAACAGAATAATTAAAGCTATTTTAGTGATGTCATTTTGAGTGACATCTTAATGGCATTTAATTGAACTACCCTCTGCCATTAATTGCAATTCTTATGTCCCCTAATTCTTCGTATTCTAATATTTCCATCTATCTTCGTAAACATACATTCAATGTTCTACAAAGTCTGTGTTTGTCATCGAATTTTTATAACTTTGTAATTTTATAATATTTCCTACATGTTTTCTATATTACTAAAATTTGTATATTACTTCACGTGTAATATCATTTTACATATTCGAGTCCTATGTGCGTATTTCGTTCGTTAAAAATATATTCATGAATGGTTGTAATATTAAATGTTATGTAAAATAAAAATTCTTTTACCTTTCTATTACAATTTTCTTTCTGGGATACTTTAGAGCTCACTATAGAATTAACGTATTTGCTCTTTATTGTAACGATAAAGAATTACACTTATAGGTAGAATGTATGAACATAAGCAAAATTACGAAGAATATACAGAAAAATACATACAGATGTAATTATAAATTTCCTAAAAAAACATTAATAATTTTATAAACAAACACATGCTACAACTATTCAAGAAATTCATGCCATTTTCAGTCATTTGTACCAAATTAAGACATATGTATTACTTTAGGTGAAGATTTGTTAAAAATTTTAGATTCAAATTGTTTAAATACTTTTCGTGAGAGATTGTATATATTTATTAAATAAGAAGTATTCTTTCATGATCCTACCAACCCTTATTCTCTTGTAATTCTGAAACATTTGTGTACCATAATAAAATATTTTACATTGATTTATTACGATGGTAAATATTTCTTGTTTAAAATAATGACACAAATAAAAAGATTAACATTTATTTTGTAATTTATAAATATAGCTATGGTTTAATGGTTGGAATTGGTGCTGGACTAACATTTCCACCGACGGTGTACATCGTGACTTCATATTTTGAAAAACTTCGAGGTTTTGCAAATGGCTTGTGCATTTCTGGCAGTGCAATTGGAACTATCGTATTACCACCATTTCTACAATATCTTCTTGACTGCTTTGGATATAGGTAACTATTTTTGTATATCGGAGTAATATATAAATAATTTATGTTATTTAAAAAGAGGCAAAATAGCTTTAGAATAGAGCTGATAATATAAAATTTACTTGGATTGCAATCAAATATTATATCGATATTATAGCATATTTGAAAACTGAAATTATTCAATATCATTTGCAATTACTAGAAATTATTTTTCGCTAATTTTGTTATATTGCAAAACACATATCATAATTGAATTAACAATAGGAAAATGTATACATATTTTATACTGTTTTAATTATATGTATTAGATAATTGTTATACAATATTATCTAATACATATAATTGTACAATAATTATATTTGATAATATGTATACAATATTAATACCTTTATTAAGAAGATAACCTACAGAGGTGCAGTATTAATCATGGGAGCAATAACACTAAATACATTAGTTTGTGGCTTATTGTATCATCCTGTGGAACAACACATAATCACAGTGCCAATAGAAGGAGGAATTGACAATGAAGGATTAACCATAGATGAACCAGTCCTTGATAAGAAAAAACCAACAGGTAATTTAACACAGAAACATATTAAGCTAAAGGGCATATTCTAATCTAAAATATTAAAAATTTTCAAAATTGAATAGGTATTAAAAAATATAAACAATATATATGTCCCATGAGAGTTATAACTTCAAAGTGATAACAGATAAACAAAAATTTCATTAAACAAAATTAAATTATTAAATAGTGCCTCAAAAGTATAGTTGCTTAACAAATTTCTATACAAAAGTATTAAGGCACTTATATTAAAAATTGATTAATTTAGGAGATATTTTAGCTGTAATTTGCCAACATTGTATTTAGTTTTATCTATATTATATATTATTAATTATATTCATTATACATATATATTATTACAGTATATATATAGTATCTTAGTCCTTAATACTTATCATGCATGAAAATTAAAAAAATTTTTTAAATACTTCTATTTCTGTAGCAAACATATATATCAAATGACGCTTCATTTGGAATCATTTAATATCATGCAATGAAATTTTGTTCTACTTTCTCTCGCTTTGAAAAGGGGTCATCTTAATTATAAGGAATTCCTTGTATAATACGTAAGAATATATACATGATGTTTATGCATAAAGGTAATGCATATATTTATAATACTCAAAATAGCTATTTGAAATTTTGTCTGCAATTAATTAAAACAAAGACAAATATGTCTGTAAAAATTATATTTATCTATTTAATAACATTTTTTATCTTTATGTTCCAAAAATTAAGTCAAAAATGGTCACCTTAGACTAGAACACCCCTTTAAAGAAGAGCTGTCAAATTAAAATAAACTGCAAAAAATTATTTAAATCTCTTAATAGCATCCACCACAACTGAAAATGAAACATCATATACTATCACAAGATCAAAGAAAGAAGAAAATTGTCGGACTGAAACTGCAGCAGACAACTCTAAAGTAAATTATTGTTTGGAAGATAAAAACGAAGGAATAACTGAAAATATGGAAACTGAAATGAAGAAAGAAAACACTTACAATGAGAAAGATCCGAGTTCGAACCAAGGAAATGGAAATACTAGGGATTGTCAAAATGCGGATTCAGATTCTTTACGACGAAGAAGTAATATCGCTGAAATCAATGAAACTACCAATAAGTTAAAAAATGAAAACTCAGAGTTAAATAACCTTTCATTCAATATGGATAATGGTGAAAAAATGTTTAATAATGCAAAAAAAGAATTAGGAGAATTGTCAGAAAAATCCACATCTAGGATATCATTATCTAAAGTTGAAGTTACAGGTAAACGACAATTCTTTGATCTGAGTGTACTTAGGGATCCAATTTATTTAGTAATTCTCATTTCAAATTCTACCTCAGCTATCAGTAATACGAATTTTATGATCTTACTGCCCTCTTATGCAATTTCTCAAGGATTTGATAAAAATTCCTCTGCATTACTTTTATCAGTTGTTTCTGCTCTTGATTTAGTTGGACGAATCAGTGGTGCTTCATTATCAGATATTGATTTTGTGCCAAAATATTATTACTTTGTTGGTGGTCTTGGTACTAGTGGAATAGCTTTGGCATTATTGCCTATGGCAACAAGTTATACAATGCTTTCCTTTTTTTGTGCATTATTTGGATTGTCTTCAGGTATGTACATTGGTATCACAACAGTAATTTTAGCAGATATGCTTGGAACAGAAAAACTTAGCTCGTCATATGGAATATCTTTATTTGTTAATGGAGTTCTCCAATTAATTGGTCCACCTATTTGTGGTGTTGTATTTGAGACAGTAGGAACATATAAACCTATCTTTTTATCTTTTGGTATTATACTTATTCTTGGTACTGCATTATGGGCAGTTGTACCTCTTATAAAGAGAAACAAGAAAACTTTACAAGTTGTATAACATTTCGTAATTATTAGTTTGTATAATGAATATTGCACAACTTTAGATTATAAAGTATTATGAATTTTTTAATATCAGCATTATAACTGCCATCTAAACAACAATTTTTTCTAGAAAAATCTTTCATTTTTAATCATCTAATGTTGTAAGTTAGCACTTTTATTCACAGATGTATGATAATACATTGTTAGTATTATTTTCATTCTGAATACAGATACTGATCTGATTTTGTATGTGTATATTGATACAATTAGTAACTTATAGTCTAGTTGTCAGTGAGTTCACTATAGATCTACTTAGAAAGAGACATAAAAGAAAAAATATTTAGAAGATAAAATGATATACTAGCATTGCTAGCTAGTAACAAATTCAATCATTTTATTGTCATGATTGTGAATGGGCATATATGAAGTCATATATGAAGTTAATCATAAAATTATGAAAAGAAGAAAAATAGAAATTGAGAGAAAGAGAATAGCATTGTTGCTCAAATAGTATGTGAATTGTACTATTTGAAATTTTTAATTGTGGTTATATATTTATCATACTGTATACATTCCAAAATAAATAATATAGCAAATAATTATAGTAACAAGAATATCTTGATATAATAAGTATAGTAATGCATAGATGCAACTTTATCATGATATCATTGAAGTTAATTATTTTTCTAAGCTTATCAGCAATTACTGAAGTTTATATTGTTTCGATTTAATGCTGTTATGATTTTGATTAAAAATAATGAATAATAATATTAAACAATATGGAAATACAATTGATAATTAAATAAAACTTAATGGTTTTTATTAAAATTAATTAAGAATTAATATTATTTCAAATAAGAGTTTTTTTAAGATTTCATAATTGTACCAAAGTATTGTTTTGTATACTATTATCAATTTTCAATGATTTCTTGATACTTAAACTTGATTGTATACTACTTTTGTTTGGCATTATTGTACAATGTATGTACTATGTATTACTGAATTAAACATGTGTTTCGAAAAGTATCATACATTAATAAATATTAAGTAGAATCATTATTGTGCAATATTTTTATTATTACTGAAATTTTTTTAATAATATATACATGGACATAGTTTCAACAACAAACGTATATTTTTATATATGTCATTAGTAATAAGGGGATATTTTATTTTAGATAGGTCACATTACATTCATTTACCAATATTTTTTGAGAAAATATATGTTTATATATAAATCTCAATATTTTATCTACTTAAAAGTTAAAATTGTATTCTCATGACATTATCTAACACATTTTATTAGACAAAATCATTTTTACAAAATAGTAATTATAATTAATATAATTAAATACTTGTATATTATTTTATATGTAATTTTACTGGTTATTTTTCCGTACTACATAGGATAAACTTATCGGTGTATACTTGTTACTAACGTAACACTCGAAATTTAATGCAAATTTTGTATTTTTGTAAGTTGTAAAAAATATTATTTGAGATATTAATACTTAAGAAGCAGGTTATCTTTTCTTTAGGTTGCACAAATTCTGAAATTCTTAAGAAATTTTTTTAAAGATACTTTTATATCGTTAATAATTCCTCAAATATTTTTCCATCACATACATAATTTCAAATATTTTTATTGCCTTGGAAAAACATTGATCTTTGTATTTGTTTCACTTATAATAAAATTTGCTTTGCGACAACATATAAACCTACATATTCCATTCTTTAAATATTAATTTAAAGGTAATACATTTTTCAAGTTTCATTCAAATACTTTTAAAAATATCCGAAAAATATAAGACTCTCTCTGGCCCTCTAAAATAGAATATCCTCTTAATTAAACAAATCAGTTACGATATAAAAATTGAATTTTTTATATATTATTTTTTATATATATAAATACATAAAACTTTTTAAAAATCCAATATTGTATGACATTTATTTTTTAAGAAATACTCAACAAACCAATACGACCTGTAACATTTTTAATTTCAGTTTTAACATTAACTATACTAGACAGATAAATACAATGATGTAAGTCTTATTATATTGTTTATATCGTAAAAAGTATTGCACTTGTAAATTTATTAGGAAATCTTTTTACTAGAGATTATAAAATTACTAGGCAGTGTTCCGTTTATTAAATGTGCATAGAGAATATTAATTACTTATACCAAATACTCAGTTGTTTTTACATATTTATACTAGTTATAGATTTTCGCATGTATTACAATTTAATATTATTAATGACCAAGAATCTGGATATCTGTGCACATACTCCGGTAAAAATTATTTTTGTACAATTTTGATGCGACAATATATAGAAAATTAATTTTCTAGTTTAAGTTTTATATTAAGAAACAATATACTTTAAGAAACAAGAAGTCATCGATATATTACGATATACATCTACCATAGTTATTTCTCTTTCAAACTTAATTGTATGAAGAGAATTTTTGTATTGTAGAGAAAATTCCTCGTTTTTAATACAATGTTAAAAGAAACACGTTATAAACGTAATTTTTATACCGAATGGAATTTATATAAAATAATCTGTAAAATAATACGAATGAAAAAATTTGATCAAATGTTAAGATTAAAATAAAAATATAGAATGTAGAAAGGAAAAGAAAAAAAAAAGAGAGAGTATTATCATATGTATTTTCTATCGAAAATAAAGAGAATTATGTCTGTGTATACTTTTTTTACATATATATACTATACGCAAAATATTTTACGATAATTTCAATTAATTATATTGCATTTAACATTTTGCCTGGGTTTTAAAAATTATTGTAAAAATTCCTCTTTTATTTTTAAGCTTTTACATCCTTAAAAGCAATAATTTTTTCATGCGATGTTAAATGTAAAATATTTTACAAAATAATACTTCTAATATAATTATCAGAATATCTATTAACTAAAATAATTATTAGTTAAATACTATTGTTTAAATAATAATTATTATTAGTTAAATAATTCATTGTTATAAACGTGTTTGTTTGAAATTTTTTATTTCTTGCGATTAAAATTTGTTATTTATAAATAGTAAGCACTGATATTATTGATCTCGAATTCGTTATAAGTACCAAAACATTTAAATATTTTAATCGTGATGAGGAAATATTTGAAGACACAATTTCCTTTCCTAACATTGTTAGACTTAATCTACAGTTAAGTATAGTATTCTTATTTTCATTCTTTTTTTATTATCTATTTCTTTTTATAGTCTGTAATCTATGATTATTAAACAAAATTTAATAATTATTTTTAATTACGTTTTAGAACTATTATTACAAACTCTTTCTTTACAGATCATTTTTAAAATTCATTAACGATTGCAAAAGAGTAATAACGGAAAATAATTTCAATTGAAATAGAATAAGTTTAATTGAAATTATTTTACATTATCAGTAGATTTATATTATTCTGATTCCAGGTGCTATTGTGTAGGCATTGCGATTTCTTACATGTACATCAATAACAATTATGTTCCTTATATCCTGTTCATTTTTTCTTTTCAGTATTGATATTTAGAAATATCATTAATATTTGCTCAATTTCATTTTTATTCCTTTTTATATATTTTATGTATTATTATCTATGTAAATTACAATTTACAATATTTTGTAAAGATCCAAAATAAACTCTATTTTACCAAAAAGAACCACTCACTAAAAATTTTAATAACAAAATACCAAAATTGGAATAATTTTTTATATCAAATATAATAAAATCTCTCGTGTAAAATACAACTTACCGCAAAAATTTATTTATTTAATAATACTCATTTATTTATTTTTATTTTCTCATAGTTTTATAACGTTGTAGAAACAATTTATGTAAAATAACTATGTAAATATTAATTACATTCATTATAAATTTCATTTCTAACTACAGGTAGCCCTCCTACAACACGGCATCCTATAACACGGTTTCGCTCTAACACGATAAGAAAATTGCAAAAACCTTTGTACAACACTGTACTTCTACATGAGCAATGACGACGAAGGAATTTATTAAATTAAAGTTAATAAAAATTAAGTTGTTTATGTAGAATTAATCAAAAAATTTGTTTTTAATAAGTTTTCGAAACGTAATCTTTTTGTACTGGCTCTGGGTCTCATACAACACGGTTTCACACAACACGGCATTTTCTAAGAACCTATCTACCGTGTTATAGGAGAGTTACCTGTATATAAAATAGGGAAATAAATGCTTAATAAAATGGATATAATTAATTTTTAAAAATATAAAATTTATGTATTTCCCAGTAAAAAGAAAGAAAATTATTTTCACGATGATAATAGTAAAACATTTCTTTTTATAGATGAGATTAGAAATTTATGATTAAATTAAAAAATTGTGGTTTAAAATAATTTTAATTAATAATAATTAATTTTAAACACGAATTATTTTAATTTAATATTATTTTAATTTGCATATATTATTTTATATTATTTTAAGTATTATTTTAATTTGCGTAAATAAAATATTACTTACAATAATGCGAAAATATGTGGACAGTTATGTGTTGCAGCACTCGCTACTCTGGATTCATAAATAAACGTGTATTTTATATATTTTCTGTGTTGGGTATTAATATCTATTAGTATATATAAGATTGAATTAATAGTATAAATAAGAAGAATAAGATATTTGCAAATTGCGAGATACAAATATTAGTACCACGTAAGTACGTTAAATCTAAGTAAAGAATTTCCTTTATTACAAAAAATTAATATACATATTATGTTTCGTAAATTCGATATTACTAGAAACAATATCTAAAGAAACAATTTTGGCACATATTTGTTTTAAATCATAAATCATTTTTCGTGTAAATATAAATACTTAATATGCCTAATATACCTCATTGAATAAAATTTGAACTTAAAATTTGACAATGACCTTTCATTTCTATAAAAAATAAATCAAATTTAAGCAAATTACTTTCCAACAAAAAATTAAATTTAAAAATTCGATTTTAGTGCATATTATTTATTTATATTGTTTTTATTTAAAATTTAATTACTTACTGAAAATGTATATTATTATCATTTTTAACAAGTACTTCCAATATTTCTGTATATTTGTTTATCATACAAATAATTCTAATTATTTGAAATTAAATTTAAAGTATCTCGATTTAATGAAAATTAGTAAAAGATCTATTATTAACAGACTTGACAATATAAAAAAAATAAAACATTTATATTCATTAAAAAAAATTATTTTATAGCTAATATAAAATTAATTAGAAATTATTGAGAATGTAATATGAAATATTTTCGTTATACATGATACATAATATGCAACAAAATTTTTGTATGATTTGAGGTTAATGAGTTTTTCATATTTTATTATATAAAGTTACTATTTTTTCTTTTACTAATAATTCTTTACTTAGTGGCAAAAATTAAACATAACATAAATTAAAATTAATTTCTATATATGTAAAAATATTCATGTATGCATATATATGCACATATGTGCATATAGAAATCTAACATACTATAAGGGTGTAGATTTCAGAGGAAAAGTAATAAATTTTGAATATTTTATCGAAATTGAATGCATTTTTAAAAATTTGCAATATCATTAATCCTAAATTGCATTAACAATTATAGTAAACATTAGTGAAATAAAATACCTATTAATAATGCCAAATATTCACTTTCAATTCATTTTAATATCCAATTTTATCATATACTAGTATATCATAGTACACTTATCATGTATTATGTTTGTCAATAACTTTTCTTTATATATAATTCGTTATTTATCAACAAATCATACTTTATGTCTTCCACTTATCTTATTCTATAGCCCAATATTCCTTTGGTATTTAATAGAATAATCTCAAAAATAACCTCAATTAATCGCATAAGTACCGCTTTTGTCTTTACCCTTACTAAGCTATTCTAATTTCTGTCTAATATTATTTACTTATAATTAGTTACTTAAAGATATAATGTGAATAAACCTATCTGTATAGTGATATTTTATTCATAAATCTGGTAAGATCTTCTTAAAAATTTGTGTCATAAAGTATTAAGAAGAATTATGTATTGCTTTTAATATTTATATATTATTTTTTATAACATATACATATATAATATAATATTATAATAATTTTTTATGAAATGCTGTAAAGATTCTTGTATAATAAATAAATGCATCAATTTATGATTGAAAGTGATTATACAGAAAATATAGAAATTATTATCGTATGTGGTTCACCATATATATACATATCTTTCTAATGAGTGCAGACGAATGTATCACTTGATTGCATAATAAATCTCACTGATACAAAAGTGAAAGTTACGTGCAACGTCGATAAGAATATCTTTAAGATACATGAGAAAAGATATTGCCTTCTACTTACTTATGTACATATGTACACATTTGAATTTGTGTTACAACATCATCGAAAATGCAGTGTCATGCGTTTTTTGTATATTAGTTAAAAGTTTTGTTTGTATAATAAATAATACAATTTATGGTTATTGGTGGTTATTCGAATTTATTAGAATTCAAAAATATGCAATTGTCTGACTAATATAATGTATAATAATAAAAGTTAAGTTTGTTAAAGTAATTTTCATTTTATAATTTTAAATTAAAATGTTTTTAACATTTAACATGGATATCGATTTATGTTTTGGAAGACATATTTTCAATTTACTTCTTCAATGTACTATTTACTGTAGTTTACTATATCAATTAATTAAGTATCTAATGTATGCAATCAAATTATTATAACTACACGTATTATCTTTATACTTAAGTACCATAGAAAAGTGATTAATTTTGTTAGAATAAACTAAAAATATAAAATTTTTTCTATTTCCTGTTTTTATATACGATCATTGTTTAAATATTAGATCTTAAACTTCTCATATTTGGAAAAGAGAAATTTAAATTATAAAATATTATAATACTAAACTCATAGTTTTTTCTTATAAAAAATTTGTCTATTTCTCCTTGTACGATACTCCTGAAACTTCTTATATGGATTACAGTATTTAATTAATACAATTGACTTTTATAAAATGTTATAATAACGTATATGACGATTATTTTTCGCATTTTTGTTTTATCTTTGTGGTATTCAAAATAAAATTATCTTGTCGAATGCAGACAAGAAAGTGTTAATAAATTAACTCGATTTTAAAAAAATGTTGTTTAATTGTATTTAAAAAAAGTCAAAGGTAATATATGATAGAAACAATATAATTTCTATACATTAGGATAGTTTTATTACAAAAAAAAAATAATATCAAGAAATGCAATTTTCGAAAAACAAATATATTCTTCCTCCAAATTAACATTCTAATAAATTATTATAGTTAAAAAAAATAGAAATATTGATATCTATAGTTTCAGATATCTGTAACTTATAACCTAATTTAATACTCGCATGCATAGTCAAATATCTCACTGAATTTGAATTATATAATAAAGATAAGTATTACACACACATTTTGATAGCATAAATACAGAAATTCGAAAATAATCTTATACTATCTATAAATTTTCTGTTCTTTCTTTTACTGTATTATATTTACATTATTTGTTATTCTAATGTATACTTAGCTTATAATACATTTTAATAAATATTGCGAGATTGCAAATGCTTAGTGATTTCTCGTATAATACATTCTTTGTTCTACGGGCGTGTTTGTCTATTCATGAAAAATATAATCGGTACGAAAATAGGTGTGTGGCATCCTACTGTTTCTTTCTTTATTAATCTTAAACAAATACTGTAGAATTATAAGCATCATCAAAGGCATACAGAATTACACGTTACTCAGAAGATCGGAATTATATTTTTGACACTCGACCTTAATTAATATTATATTGACGAACATTTCTTTCTAAGATATGAAAGAATGTAGCGAACGTAACTTATTCAAACTTTATTGTATAAGAATTACTGATATTTCATTAATTATTGTATATTAAACATGCATTTCAGTTTGTGACTGCTATAAGACTAATGATAATTTTCTTTTCTTCTTTTTTGAAATACAACACATGCATATCTGAACATAATTAATATTTTTTAATCGAACAAGTTATGTGATTCATATAATGAACGTAAATACCATTAATTTATCAAATTTTCATATTCAAGTCTTTGATAGAATTTTTAAAATTTTAAAACTTTTAAAAATTTAGAATTCGATACATAATCGTTATTTTATGATTGTACTGTTTATTTTAATTGTACTACCTATACTTCTAAAAAATATATTACAGTAATATAAACAATTGAACATCATAACGACCTATAGTCTAAGAACTAAATGTTCTATAGATCTTTTTCTATACAGTTCTATAATATTTCCCCTGTACTAACAATACGTCAATTAGAATAAATTATTTACAAAACCTATTTCAGAATTTAGTTAGAATGACAAATAGTCATTATCATGGAGTAAAATATGGAAGCAAATGGGAAATCGCGCTATAAGCGAATTTAAAATATTTGCATATTTACTCTTAATGTGTTAGTAATCAAACGAACGGTATTCTTCTTCAAATTGTTCTGAACATGAAAACATAACACGAGATTTGGAAAGATTCCCAAAACCATTTATGAAAAATGTTTAAGCTGGTGATTACGACGTAGCCGTGTCCCTGCGTCCACTGAACGATACGATAGAACGAATACCTTTTACTGAAGTCTGAAATAATTGAACAAAAGACATAATTTTATTATCTGACAGTATTATCAGTCTTTTTCTATGTTAATTCTACAAAATGTTTGCAAAGTTCATAATTTGCAAAGTATTAAAATACTGAACAGAATATCTATAATGACGACGGTAACGACGATAGCAAAGACGATAATGATGATAATAATTATGACGATGACGATGACGACGATGGCGATGGCGATAGCGATGACGATGACAAAGACGATAACGATGACGATGACAATGATAATGATGATGATGATGATGATGGTCATAATCATGATCATAATAATATTAAATATGGAAACATAACAAATTTCTTTATTATTAAATGAAAAATTAATAATTATGCACGAAGACAAGAAATCTTTAAAAATTCTTAAGAACTGTTGTTAAAAGAAAATAATATATAAATTATAAAATAATTGTTGAAAGTATTATAAAAAAAGCAACTAAAGCAGATATAATTCGTAAACACCAAATTACATAAAATAAAATATTATTCTACCTCGATATGATTACAATACAATTTTTTAATATAATATAAAAATACGCTTTATTATAATATATGATTAGAAGTTTTAATGTTACTGTATGCACACATTAATTACGGAAATATTTTAATTAAAATTTTTCATACTATAAAATAATTTTTTATAATATAGTCCTGCTTCTATTAATTGATTTTATAATTAATCTTTCATAAATTTACAATTATCAAGCGTAATAAACTAGTTTTTAACGAAAAATAACTACATATTAATTAATAACTAATAGAAATATTTAAATTTAAAAAAAATAGTTGTAACATAAGATTTTAAGATAATGTAAAAAGTATTAAATTTAATTACTTGTTATTTACTATAAAGATGAAATTAAACTTATTATAAGTATATGAATTTATATTAAATACTAGAATTCTAATTTCAATACACTCTTTATGATAAGTATCAAATGCTTTCTTAGTAGTTAACAAATATTTATCCAATAATATAGTAAAACTAAAAAATAATTTATAAAACACAAATCTATAACAACCAAAAAGTGAGACAATGTAAAAATACTAATTTATCACTATTTTATACAATGAACTAATATTAGTATTTAATTGACTTGTATATATAACAATTATAAATACAAACTTGATAAAAGGAAAAAAAATTAAATTAATATTATTCAATTTTTTACCCATTTGATAATCACACATTAATTTATATATTAATTTATTTAATATTATATTAATTAATATATTAATTTATTAATCATATATTATATTGAAAGAAAATTAGAAATGTTTAACCAAAGTTCAATTTGAGAAAATTATGTTAACAAAGTTCACTATGAATCCAAATCCACTTTATGATTTTGAAAGTTCAAAAACTTATTAATTGTAATAAAATCTATATAAAATAGAATAATTAAAATATAAATACTATAATAGTATATTTAATAAATGTTATATAATAAATGACAAATTCATTAAGTAATAAAAGTTACATAGCATATTATAGACATGCTTGCAAATTTTTGCAAAAATAAATGATTTAAATGTAATATATAGACTATATACAAATTTACAGTATGAAGCTTACATGCATATAGTACTTACTACTATAAACAAAGAAATAATTATCTAGTAGAAGTAATTTATAAAGTCATTCTTTTCGAAACAAAATGATATAAATGTGATATAATTAACAAATTAATTACTTATAAAGAATATAAATGCAACAGAACTATACATTAATAATATTTTTCTTTATATATTTCTATATCTGTTACATACACGTGATATGTGAATCATGAATCTATGGACATTTTATATCTGAATTTTAGTTTCAAAATTAATAGTGAAACAACTTTAACAAAAATTATTATGTACAACATCATTACAATTAGAAAATGAATATTCATTAGATTAGATAAACTGAAAATTTTAGATTTACGCATTAACTAATAAATATCATAAATTTTATTGTATTAGATAAAAAAGAAAAGTTATTTTTGAATAAAAGAATTTTATATATTTATAATTTGTAGCAAACTAATAATAGAATGGAAATAAATTTATTCAGAAATTTCAAACACTAAATTAAGTACCAAACAATATATCATAAGAATATTATCACATTTATATTAAAATCTATTAAACTATTAAGGCGAATGGTAATTAATTGCAGTGAAAAAAATCATAAATTATGAAGGAATTAAGGAATAAAATTTAGATATCAAAAACGTAAAAAATAAAAATCCAAAAACTATAAATAATATAATAATGTGAAAGATATAATAAAATAAATTAATATCTTATATATATATAAAATAATTATTAAAAAGTAAATGATGTGAAAAAATATCAAAGTTTCCTTTGTCTATATTATGTCTCATTTAGATCACTAATATTTCCAAAATGAATGATACTGACAAATATTTCATATAAGGAGTTTAAATGGTTTTAAAAGATAAAGAAGCTGATGGCTTTTGGCTTTTTTGTGAACAGGTATATATAGGACATGCAAACTTCAAATTTATTTTTATAACTAGTATCCTATATTTTATAATCTATAAAATGATGCTATTTGTTATTTGTTACAAAAATATATTTTATTATTTATGCCAAAAACATCATTAATTTTTTAATTTAAAACTATTTTAAATTAATAATTAATTTAAATATTACAAAATGGTATTAGTAATATGTTTATCTCTATCTGAAACATTTGTTGATATCATTAGCAATTTCAAAGATACCCATTAAGTTCAATTTAAATAAAACATAAATGTATATAATTTTATGTACATTTTGTGTACATATTATTAAATTCCTGGTTTTGTTCAAATAAAACTTTTTTAATATTAAATCATAAATTAAAATTAAGAGTTCCAATATTTTGTACTATATTCCACATTATTTCTATAAAAATTTTATAATTTCATCACACATATCTATTTTGAAATTTTATGAAAATATTTAACTAAACACCAGAAAATATCTTTGTCAGAAAATTGAATTGAAATAAATGATATTAATTGTAACAAGTTAAATTATGTTTAAATAAAAATAGTTTATAAGTATATACAGAATATTTAATGTAAAACAGCAATAAGAAATATGAAAATTAATGAAATTTATTTAAGAAATTAATTTGATTAAATAAATAAATTTTAAAAATGTAAGAAGATACTGATGTTCTGTTTGTTCAATTATAAATACTAGTAATACTAAGAATATTAAATATTACCAATACTAAGTGATAATTTTTGTAAATTTTGTATGATCATGTTGGAAAAATAACAGCTAAAGAATATATATAATAATGGTAGTAAAGCTAGTTGAAAACCGAATTTATAGAATAAAATGACTGAAAAAAAGACATCTACAGATCTGTTAAATATTATTTTGATAAAATAATGAAGCATAAAAACCAAAGTAAAAAATTACAATCATTAAAAACTTAAATGCTAATTATGCAAATAAAATATTAAGATATTCTATACAAATTTTGAAAAAATTTAAATAAATACATTAATAAAAATAACAACAAAATAAATAATGTTGTTAAAAACCAGAATTAATAAATAATATCATAGTAATAAGCTATATATTATAATCTAGGTGAAGATGATAATAACGACAAAGGCGATGATGGCAACGACGACGATGACGACGGAGATAATAACGACGATAGTGATAACGATGATGGCGAGAGTAAAGATGATGGTATATTCATACTTGTTTCTATAAATCAAAATAATAACGTTAGGAAAACTAAAATAACAGTTACAATCACAATTACAAATATAATAATTATAACTATATTAATAACTGAATAAATACTACGTGTCACGGTGCTACTATTGATATTAGTTATCTAATATGTCAAAATATAATTTATAAATGATATATTGACCTTTTTCTTCGAGCCATTGAGAAAATCCTTATACATTTCCGAACGAAGATATCTTGAGTAACTATCGCTTTTCATCAGATGATAAACGTGCGCCTAAAATTTAATACCACGGAACAATTTCTTATTATTTTTTTTCATTATTAGTATTGTTGTTTGTAAATCTTTATTATATTAAATTTATTCAGTCTAAATACTTAAAAATTTTTTCTCAGTTTAAATATTTATGCAACGAAATTTTTTAATTTTAACGAAAATTTTTGATTTATAGCTTGTACCGCTGTTATGTCGAAACACCATCGATCAGGTTTCTGTAAATGCTTCTTTGTTATCTCATAAGACTGACAATCAACATTAATTGGACAACTAGCATCTGGACCTAAATACTCATTCCAAATTTCGTTCACTTTATTTTGAACTTCTTTTTGAGGTAATGTTTTCAATTCTTGCACAGCTTCCCAAAATCTATGTATGTCAATGAAATATTTGTATTTTCAGTCTATATTTATCTTTTATTATAAAAAGGTATTCTAGTCTAAAAGATTTAACAGTTCAATTTTCAAATTTATATGTCGTCTTGTAATTTAGAATTAAGAAAATATGTATTATCCAAAAGTAACACATAAAATTTGTATAAATTAATAAAATTATTCATGTTTAAAAATAATAACATTATGTACCTTATCGTGATATGTACAATTTTAAACGCATTGTAATTGAAGTAACTTTTTTTTAATCGACGATCAATTTTTTTTCAAAAGTTATTGATCTGTTCACTCATGCATTTTGTACACACATATATTTAGTTATCATCTGAATTAGAATTAAATAGATAACTGAAATATATTCTTTTTCAGGTAAATTAATAAATTAATACTAAAAGTGAATTTTACACTTTCAAAATCTGCCATTTTGCTAAATATCATTCTATATTATTTTATTTCAGACAATAGCCATAACTATATAAATTGCAAAATACCTGAATTGTTTGATTTATGCTCATATTCAATCTATGTCACTGATTATTCTAAAATTTCAAAATGTAGCAAATATGTATACAGATAGAAACATGTAAACAAAACTAAATCTTTTATTCATTTAATAATTATTTATTTTTCATGTTAAAACTCAATGCAAATATAATCAGCTAGACCAGAATATCTTCTTATAATAAAATATTAAAATTAATATTAACTTACTTTAGATTTTCACCACTGAATTCTTTATCCAAGAAACGTATAAATTGTTCTCTACCAACAGGGTCTTGTAACAATTCTTGAAGACTAAAACCCCACCTTTTTACTCTTCTTGTTGATATTTCTTTACTATTTAAACAATTCCAAATATATTATCCTAATGATGTCAAATAAATATAACATAAGTAAAGAAATATACATACGCTAATTTTTCTTGCTCCCACATTTCTGAATTATCTGATACCCATGGATTTGTGAATTCAGGTTGTATGAAAAAAGGATCATACTCTATATACTGCTCAAAATATGCAATCAGACTAAAATAATTAAAAATAAAATATGCAATTGAAGCAAAATAATATTATTGAAAATAAATTAATAGTATAAAATACAATTTCAGCAAAGACTTTAATAATAATATTTACTTACGCCTCAGAAATTTTTGAAACCTTAGTATTTGATCTATCTAATCTAGCTTTTAATATTTCAATCTCTTTATTTAATGTTTCTAGTGAAGATGCTGTATACGATTTTGAATGAGATGGAATGTCGGTACTAGCTATACGTAATTGTAAATGTTTGCTTAGCTTTGAAATTGGTTTATAAGTACGACATGCTTTCTTAATATCCAATTCTGTCGTATCAACGCATCCAGGCTACAACAAATTGTAATATCATTAATAATTATAGAAATTTTCTGTTATATTATTGTTAAATATATGATTAATCAATAAGAAATAACTTTTCTAAGAATATAAATGAAGTTAAATTTGTTAATATAAAAAATGATGAATCACCATTGGTCTAAATACATCCCAGAAAGCTCTTTCTTGACTATCCAATACCTTTCTTTCTAATTTATCTCGTTTTTTGTCGACTTTACTTTGCGCTTCTGCTTGCATAAAAATTATTTCCCATTTTCTTGAAAATATTTTTTGTAATCTAGCTAAATTTTCAGCTTCATAATCTGCTAATTCTAAACGAGTTTTGTTTTGCATTGTTCGTTTACATAAATAAACAGCTGCAATATTAAAGTCAGATATAAATTTTCTTATGGAGAATTAGTTATACATTAACTTTATACAAAAAATGTTTTGACAACATTATGATACTAATGGTGTATGGTTACTTTAATCATAAAATATATTTTACTTTTTAATACATTTTGTATTACATTGAAATACTTTGTTTTAACCCAAAGAAATCTTCATAAAAATAAGTAATACAGAATTTTAAAAGTATAATTAAATAATAAATATTATTAGATAAAAGATATGTAGAGAAAAATAATTCATAATAATGAAAAATATATTATGTAAATTCAAATACATAATCGCTGGTATATACGGTTATCGTATAATATGAAACAATAACTTTTTGCATCTGGACTATTTTTGTTATTTTTGGAAATGCAGAAACAAAGGAATAATAAGATGACAGTATAACTATAGTGACTTCTGAAAACTTTAAAATACCCTATTTTTGCATTGTTATACCATATTTTTGTACACCTGATAAAATGAGTATTTAGACAATTTCAATGATCTATAATACAAGATTACTCAATATTAAATAACAAAATAAATCTTTGTGTCATAAAAAATATTCAAAGTCATATCCACCTAAAGTTATGTATTTCTTATGGTTTTCAGACTAATTGTACATAGTCGTAGATTCAGAGAATTCACATTACTAAAAAATTTTGAGTTCCATTCTATTAATATCGATAAAATTTTTAAACACTGATTCTTTTAGTTTAGATTTCTCATAATTTTAGTAAACTTATATAAAAATTAAATTTCCATTTATGTTTTCTTATGATATTAAAGTCATTATTTTATTTTTTTACTTGGTTAAAATATACTAATAATATAGTTTACATATCTACTATTGCATAAAGAATAAACTGCTATAATATATATGTACTAGAGTAATATACATATTTAAAAAATAAAAATTACGTTAAAATATTTTAGGTATTCACATAAAAATTATTACTAATAGTAAACATCTTTTGCAAATAAAATTTGTTTATATTTCTGAATACAGTAGAAATATTTTAAATGAACATGATTGTTTCATATTTTATCTTCGTCATTACTTATCATGAAAAAAGTGCCGAATAGTTTTAATGCCGATCAAGAAATTTGGAAGATAAAAAAGGAATAGAGGAATGAACCATAAATGTAAAATTTTAGCTTCGGTAATTTAATAGTTTCCGATACTAATAAAAATAGATATTAATAAAAAAAATCCTTTAGTACAATATATTGAATTTTACATGAACATTTTTAGAATACATTGAATTTTGCATGGGCCAAAACGGCTGCGCTCTACCCATAAAATATAATTCAACCCAACCAAACTTAACCTTATCCACTATCTCATATAATACACACAACGTAACAATTCAGACTATTATAATGACATCCTTGAAAACATAAAACACATTTTTTCCAAAAAATTATATGAATTTCATAGTGAACCCAAATATCTGCAAAATAAATGTTTTATTGCACTTTCAATTCAGGCTTCGAACATCACAATTTTGACAATTCACTGGAGGTTTATTTCCATTAGATTCAGACGACAATATTTATTTTAATGATGATACTGTTCACTGGTCATTTTGTGAAGTATTTATGGAAACAGTAGCTAGAAGATAGTCAGGAATTGTCACATACACTCCTATAGTTGTGCATAAACATATAAATAAGATTTCACATATTATACTAAAAGCTTTTGTATTAATATCTCGGAAACTATTAAATCCCTGAAGTTAAAATTTTAGATTTAAGATTTATCTCCCCACTACTCCATCTTTTCTAAATCTCATCTTAATTGATTATTGAAATCTTCTGGAACTACAGCAATTATTACTATTATAGAAAAATTACTTTTTATTAGTGCAAATATAGTAAACAATAATTAGCTAAGTGTGTTAAATTTATATTTTTATATTCTCCATTATTTTTCATTATATCTATCATAATCTCTTACTCTATAAAAAAAAAGTGTTTTAAATTAAAGAATAGTATAACTATATTTTTTTTACTACAAATATTTTAAGAAATAATTTCCATACCATAATCAGTATTTTCTGGTTCCCAACAATTTGATGGCCAAAAGTATGGTGTTTGAAACCTGTAGAAAGTATTATCATTTTTTACAGTAAGGCAGTGGTCATCAATAGGGAAGAAATATCCATGAGATGCCATAAGATGTGCCACATGAAGTGCCTCTATCATATTAGTACATTTCTAATTAGTTGAAATTAAATAATTAATCATATAATTTTACCAAAGAAAATCAAAGAGTAAAGAGGTATTCATGAAAATTTGTTTACATAATTTTTTTGTATTTCTATGCATTATACTTTGCTTATTGAGAACTGGCAGGAAATATAAATAACTACATGTGATCAGAACAGGATTAAAATACATTTTTCTAATCCCAGTACATTAGGAAGGAAGCTAGACTTGTATACAAGCACTCTTGACAGAAGCTCTTTATTATTCATCCCTGAACATTGACGTTTAGCAGCAAAGTATGAATCTATTTCTTAAGAGACAGAAGAAAACTGTAATACATCATTTTATATCTTTTTAAATATAATTTCTTGTTTACAAACAAAATCATACTTTTTGAAAATTGCTTTAGATTGCACTTTTATCTTTTATTTCACTTCATGAACTACCTGTATTGATATTGTTTCTTTAAATTGAAAAGATTGATCACAGTTCACATTTCTCCATTAATGTATGCAAATAAAGAAAACACTTACTTTGAATTGATTAATAATCCCAAGAAAAAAACTAAATTAAAAAACTGTTGCTTTAAATATACAACAAGGTTTGAAAAGGCTTTAATTAATTATAATTAATTCAATGCTTTCATTTACATGTATAGAAAAATGAAAACACCTCCTACTTTCTGATTTTCCCTTATATGTCTAATATTTCAGTTATACCTTGATCATCTATAGCCATGGTCTTCATCATCCATGATATTAAATCAGTACCTGAAGTAATAAAAGGTTACTTAAGTCAATATTATGTTTAAAAATGAAGAGAAAACAATAAGAAATATAAGAGGTACTCAAATAAAATTGCAATATATTACCAGTAAAGACAGAAGGCGTTTTTGTCATAAAATTCTTTACAGTTTTTACGGGAATACCTGTAACTTCATTTGACATTTTTTCTACAATAGCTTCCATCTGAAATATTAAAAAATATAAAATCAGAAAATAAAAGTTTAAAACAATAACATTTATTTAATGATTTACAAAAGTATTAAATACATATGATTAAATTAAAAGTCAGAGTATACTTACTTTCTGATAAACAAGATAATTGGGTGTACCTTCGGCAGATGAGGCAGTGATATGATATGTTGGACTATTTGGGGATTTGTCAATTGCTTGGCCATTTTGATTGTTACATTGATTAATCTGATTATCTCTATTTCTATATCGATCAGCTGTTCCTCCAATATCACTGTTTTCACCTGGTTTTCGGCGACATGCCGATTGTTCAGAATTCATAGTTACCATATCCAATCTAAATAAGTATTTAAAAAAAATTTTAATTTATATTATTTGATGTACAAAGAAAAATATAAAATCAATCATTGATTATTTATGAATTTAATAAATTTACTTAAAAATTTCACTATTTTTTGAACCCATTATTCTTAAATGAAATGGTTCAGATAATTATTATGGTTGAAAATTATATAAACTATTTAGATAATCTTAAATAAAATGTATTAAAAAAATATAAAAAATAAAAGCAATTATTATTAACTTAAGAGATAAATATAGAGATAAATAATAAACATTAATTATTAAATATAATTATAGTATCTGCAAGTTATATGTTAAGTTATGTGTAAATATATTGTATAAAATATATTTTCTAGTTTTATTATAAGATGCTTTCAACAAATGTTAATAATACATTTAAAACTGATAACATAGTCCTATATTACTTCAAATTATTTAATAAAATACTGATACATTATTCTGTCATTTCAAACTTTTTAGTTGAATGCTAATGATGAATTCTATGTCATTTCAAAATCTATAGCTCAGTATCAACAATGTAGTTTTACTATATATCCTTTTGTGTTTACAATGATTTCTATGCATTTTACAATTACTAGAATCTTATTCAAGATTATAAAATCTTTTCAAATTACTAAATAGATATCATACAGAAAAAGTATAGATATCACACAAATAGAAAAAAAATATCCAAGCAATTGATTATTTATGATTTCAAAATCATTTCAATTACATATTTCACTATAATGACTATTTTATAATTTATAACAATTGGTAAAAAAATATATAAATGAAATATTTTGTTATATTTTAATATATTTCTATTGCACAAATTAATTTCACAATATATTATTGCTTTATATACAATCATAACAGCAAATATGTACACTTCAATAAATAAGAGAAACTTGAAACCTTAAATTTAAATTGATATTAAGAAGTAAAATATATGATAATTATAACATGATTTATTAATAAATTATGCTTAGTTAATTAGCTTTAAAATGATAACGAAAATCAATTTTTTTATATACTCTAAACATAACCAGCACTTTTCTATGTTATTAAATTAAATTTATATAACAATTTTAATTCAATAAAGAGTCAAATAGTTAACAACAATATTACCGACTCTCGGGAACAAAAACCAAATCACAGAATGGTCAACAATACGAATCACTCATTTTTGTTTTGATAAATAATTCCTTTATCGAAAATAGCGATTCTGTTTCTTTTTTTTGTATGAGAATATATTCACTGATATTTTATAATCTTTTTTAAAGCTTATTTTGCAAATTTGGACTATATTTGAAGCACTCAATTTCTCATTAAACGATCAATATTCTAAAATCACAAAGTAAGGAACATTTCATGTTTGCACAATTTAAACTGTGTTTACGTTGAAAATAAATTATTCTAATCATTTAGTTAATAATAATGGTATGTATCTTATTTATAAATGAATCGATAACAAATTATTTTTAATAGAAGAAGTAAGAGCTAAATATTTTTGCTATATAGGTGCAATTTCTTTGTGTATTCGAAGCACGACTGCGCGTACAATTTTGTTACTATAAACGTGTAGATAGCATATACATACATATAGCAGAACGGAAATGATACAAAAAATGTGAAAATTAAAAAGATTAATTTTAGATGTTAATAATTTATTATGTTAGTTAATGATATTTTTAAGTAGTAAAATACTTGTATATTTATATAATAGATTAATAAAGATTATCTTAATTTGGCAAGATAAAACTATTAAAAAATACCTATTTTATTTTTAAGTAAAACAGAAACATAAAATGCTTATGTTTTTAATAAAAATATATTTAATACGTGTAACGTCAATTAATATTTAAATGCTTGATATGTATTAATGAGATTGTTAAACTTCAACATATTAGTAAACCATCTTTATTCTTTCATTTCTTGGTGTGATAAAATTCTTAATAAATTCAATTCCTTCTCAATATATAAATTGTACATAATTCATTTCACAACATAAGCGCACATATTGCATGTGCGCATACTCTGAGAACTTAATGTACATATTGTGTGCACACATACGTACATACACATATGCAAAATAATTACAATAATTGTATTTTAATATCGCTAAATTAACAGTTATTCATTAATTTTTTAATTTTAGTTAAACAGTTTCGTGGATAATGAAATATGAACATGACTAACTATAATTATTAAATCTTTTTCTAATCCTTCGATTACTCAAAGTTTACGGCTATTAAACGAAATATAGTTATGAATTATCAATTAATTCATTATTTTTAAATTCATAAAATTATTAATTATAAAATAATACTTTGGACTTTTACATTATGTAAATTTCATTACCTGTCTTTAATATACGAAAACAAGTTTTATGATTATGAACATGTATAAAAGACAATATAAACATGAAATACAATTTATAAGTTACTGGTCACTGGTGTTAATAAATTCCTGACATAGATCAATGACTTAATAAAATTACATTCATATCACGTCAATTTAATTTTTCCTTCCCTAGCAGAGTTGTAATTTATAATGTACTTATAGAAATAACATATTAAAGAAAAGCTTTATGAATATACAATGTAACAAGTATACATTTTCAAGTAGCAAAGACTCAAATTTCAAGTCTATAAGTATTGACTTAGACTTAAGTCAAAAACTTCTTATTCTGTACTTATATGTAATAAAAATATATTATGTCAATATTGAAATTGTTTACAATTCATAAATAAAAATCTGATGTTATATATAACAATTTCAGTAATACTTTTCTGTCAATGACATAAACCACCTTTTCAAAAGTAACAATTTTTCATGATGTGCATCTAATATGAGTGTGTATATTGTTTAATTAAGTTGCATATACACACGCATGTACACATTTAGTAATATAATGTTACAATTATATACATCCATCTCTACATTATGCACAATTTATATTATGTGCAAATCATACAGAAAGCTAAAGTTAGCTATAACAATTAAATAATTGATTTTGAACTATATTTTGAAATATCAAAATAGCCACTGTTAAATCTTAAACTTTGTTTTAATATTTATATACTTTTTTAAATCCACACTATATAATGTATAATAGATCAATTGTTTTCTAGACTAGAATCAAACACATACTAACATTATTCCTAATACACGTAAATGTGTGTAAGGTTCTGTGTTTTTTCCACTTTCCCTGTTCATCAATTTAAACATTTTAACTAAAGCTGAACAGAATTAATGTACAAAACACTGTAAATTGTCTATATATGTACAACAACATTTATAAGATTTACCTACATTTTTTCTTTTGTACAATATAAATTCCTTGGAACAATTCTATAAACTGAATTCTTGTATTCTTACAAAAATCATGTACTATTAAAGCAGTCAAGTAATATAATTTTAGATTCTCCATTTAGCATATCGCTGATACTTTGGTTCGAGATGCATTTTCAATTGTTCAAATTCATCAATTTCATCATTGTCAAAATCATAAAAGTTATTATTTTCTTCTGCATATTTTCTGTTTTTTATTTTTGTATTTTCTGTATTTTCAATAACTTCTTTTTCTTTTCTTCCTCTGACTTCTTCTTTCTTTTCTTTTTTCCCTCCTGTTTCTCCTTCTTCTTCTTCTTCTTTTTCTTCTTCTTCTTCTTCTTCTTCTTCTTCTTCTTCTTCTTCTTCTTCTTCTCCTTCTCCTTCTTCTTCTTCTTCTTCTATACCATTTATTTTATTTTGTGCTATAAAAACCATGTTAATAATTCTTATAAAATAATTTAATAATTTTATATTTTTATATTAAACTGATTCATAATGCAAATATTAATTTGATACAGTAAAGTAAAAAATTGGTATTAACATCTGCTATTAACATCCTAGTAAGTCAAAAATAATAATAATCAATTAAAATACTTCAATAAAAGGAAGTATACATATTTTGAAAAGAATAACAAAAAATTACAGTGTTATATCTGTCATTAATATTTATATTTCACATAATAATAATAATAATAATGTATAAATATTGACAATAAGGACACAATAAAATAAATAATGTATACTCTTTAATAATTTTTAATGTGATCAATATATCGTACATACAATAAAGGAATACAATTGTTTTTTTTTTAAATAGATTTTATCTGATGAAATTTACTTTAAATTTTATTTTATACAATATTTACTATCTATTAGTCCAGTAATAAAAAAAATTATTTCCAAATAAATTATATAATATAATTAATATGTACAACAAAACATAAAAATTTATACAGATTAAAAAATCTCCATAATAACACTTTACTGTATCAATATAGATAAATATTTATCATCAATTTATTGAAATACCAAATTCATGAAAAAATGTTGTAATTTAATTAAAATATAAATAGAAAACCTCTAATAGAGGTTTTAATATTGCTTATAATACAATATTGTTAAACGTTAAGTATTAAATAAATTAAATATTATATGGATCAAACTGTTAAAGTTTTACATTAACATAGGAAATATACAAAAATGAAATGAATTTTTATGGTATTTTTAAAAGGAAAATTAATATGATTTCATTAGTCAAACAAAAGTTATTATAATAAATGCAAGCGAGACATAAGATAATGTTGAAATCAGCAGAAATAAAAGAAAAAGCATTATTTTTCAAATAAAGTCAAATATAAAGTTATATAAATTTTATAATTATTATATCAAATTCAAATTTTTATAAAACAATGCACTTTATAAAATTTTATGCTTATAGCAAATGAATCAATTCATTTCATATATAAATGAATTATAAACAATTCTTAATTAACATGTCAAATACGATGCAATATGATGAAGAATAAGCAGCATGAAATTGTTTAAATAATATCAAGCATTAAAAAGTTTTCTTCATTATAATATATTTTATGTTTTAAAGTGACTTTAATAATTTCCATTATTACATTGTAAATTTATTTTAATAATGTACATCAATTATTCAATAACATAATATATTTCAGTTTACATTTAATTTAAAATAAAGAAAATTAATAATTTATTTAATATTTCCAGTACAATAGAAGAAAGAAATATCAGTAATATTATATAAAGTAAGTCTTATATGTTTATACTATAACATTTTGTTTATTAAAAATAACCCAAATATTTCGTATTGAAAGCATTTAAAAAAACAATTAATTTTCACATATTTGGATAAAAAAATTGTAAATTTCTTTTAAATATTAACTACAAAAAAAGATTAATAAAGTAGTCTTTTAATTTTATTTTGTAATATTTAAATTTATATGTTCTTGGAATTGTATACATTGTAATACAAAAATACGAATATTCGAATATTCAATATTTTTTTTTTGAAATATCATAAATATAGTATATGATTTTCATCAACTTTGATAACATAATTTACTCACCTGGTTGCACGAATTACTGATGAAGACTCAGCAATATTAGTACTTTGATCGGAAATAATGTCAACTGTTGTATTGCCTTTTGTGTTCACTGGAGCTGTTGAACACATAGTTGTGGCAACTGCACATTTAATTGCATTTAAATATTGATGTGTTGTATCACTTATATCATCTGAATTTGTGCATTTTAAATGTTGAGCAATATTTGATCCAAAGTTACTGAGCATATCAGTATTTCCTTTTAAATACGACACATCTTTTGAACAAACAATGGGGTCAACTATTACAGGTACTGAAGAATATTCGGAAATAATTCCAAAAGCCTCATTTTCTTCGAATTTCTGTTCTTTGTAAAAACTCGTACTTTCTTCGGTACATTGCTTCAATGAAGTATTTTCCTTAATTTTCAGTAATTCATCATCATTATGAATATTTCTTGGTTTTTCAACTATGGCATTCATTGGCAATTGAGATATCTGAGATAGATCACAAAATAAAGTCTTTACTTTAATAATTTTGTTCGGCCAATTATTAGTTGTAATATTTAATGAAAATTTTTTGATTGGAGTCCCATCGATAGAGATATCTGCTACGTGATGCATAAGATTTCTAAGAATTAACATGTTGAAGTTTGTCATACAAGAGTATATCCTTGGTATAGACATAGTTATGTTCATATGTTTGAACGTATTATCCATAGTATTTTCCACAATGGAATTATTAATTTTCATTTCATTTACATTACTTATTTCGAAATATTTGTCATCTTTTATAACAGATGGTTCTGTCATTTTTCGTTTTATTGGTGTACTTACATCTCTATAAAGTACTGAAGTACATGAATCTTTATTACCATCACTAAATTCGAAGTTAGTATCTTTATACGTACAATTTACTTTTGATATCTTTGCTTCTGGTGTGGTATTTACAACTGCGCTTTTCCAATTCCTACTATTATTTACATGACATATATTTATTTTTTCTATTTCATTGCTTGTTGGCATATTATGAACATTTATAAAAACATTTTTATCACTATTACTGTCAATACTATACATTTTGGTAACTTCATTGTTTAAACAATTTGTTTCTACATTTACCTTCAACGTATTATAACATTCAAGTGATTTATTATTTACATTACAAACACATTTTTCATTACATACAAAACATGCCATATTATTTTCTGTACTATTTACACTAAAAGCAGAATTATTTTCAACATTATCTTTTGTACTTAAATTTAATATTACTAAATTGTGCATTCTGTCAGGTGTATGTACAGTATGCATATCATTGCTTACATCATACATTATACTACACGACAAGGAGTTGCTATCACTAGTAAAATTAATACTGTCTGTTAAAGTTTCATTATTCGTTTCTTTTATTAGTATAGGATCTACTTTATCTAATATTTCCGCTATATTTTGTTTCTGTACATCGTTTGTAGCTGCTTTTAAAGCAGAGTATTCAGGTATACCTATTAATTTAGGTACAGGTACAATTGTGTTACTATTTGAAACATGCATTAATAAATTATTATTCACAATTTTAGAACAAGTATCGATTATATTTGAAACAATGCAATTTGCAGCTAATACTACATCTTTGTTAGTAACACCAGCAGGAAATTTTGATTCTATACTTTCAGATAATAATTGATTATCTAAAGTGGAAACAGATTTTTGTCCTTTTAAATAAACATTTAAGTTTTTACTTTCACTACTATGATCAGTACATTTTTGTTCTATATCTGTTGAATCGCTTCTGCAATCCTTTTCAATTAAAAGATTTACTTCTTTAGAACAAGATTTATTACTTTGTTCAGGAGCATTTAAAGTACCCTCAAATCTAAATGATGGAATCATGTTTGCTAAACTTTGTAAACTTGGCAATTGAGAAACATTAAAAAACTTTGATTTACTTTTTAGCGATATCGAGGATTCTTCCGCTTCACGATTATAAATTCTATCCTTTTTGTCTTTTATGTAATAATGGAATTTATCTCCAAGAGTCATCATGCTGTTTATGCTATCTTGAAATGTATTTTTACTTTTTAATTGATTAATAGAAGTGGAATCAGAAAAGAAACAACTAGAATGTTGAAACAACGAAAGTAGTTTTCCTAAATTAGAAGTACTTTTTTGTATTGGATCATGTTTTGTTTGTGATTGCAATTCTACACTTTCATTCGTACATGTATTTGTTACTTTATTAATTGCACCATAACCTTTGTTACTAATTATTGATTTATCACTTATTGTAATGTAAGAACTTTCATCATTTTTATCTGTAGTTGCAGACGGTTTTATATCTTTTTCATCTTCGTTATAACAATTTTCTACATTCTCGATATTTCTTGTCGCTGAAACATCTTCCGAT